ATACTCAATTCATGCTTATAGTCACGTCTTCACCAGCCCAGATGATCTCTGTTAAGACATCATTGTGGATCTAGTGACGTTGCATTTAAAATATATTTATTTTATGCTACAGGAAGGATTGTAATCCAGGGAAGACTTACTTTTTGAGATTTCAAATGACTCAAACTTGACTGGCTGGATATAGTTCACCAGGTTAGACATCTCCTCCGTGGCCATGGCTTCACTCCCAGCAGTCCCCTGGAAGCAGGAATGAGAAATAAGCAACAATCCCAGAGTCGGCATTATATGACCAAGGGTTATTTTCTCAGGAAAATGGTCAGGTGACTCAAACTATCATTAAGTCATCCCTCCTCTTTTGAAAATGATTCCTGCCAGTCAAAATTCATTATAGAAGAAAGAAAAGGCAAGGGAGAATGAGCAGTCGTGATCCAATATATGTGGGTCCAGACGCGTTTTGGATTTGGGGGGATTTTGCTATACTGCATATATTTAATAAGAGATCTTGGGGAGGGGATCCATTTCTAAACATGGAATTCATTTGTGTTTCATATGCACTGGATACACATACCCTAATGATATTTTTTTTAAATGCTGAGATCAAACCCAGGGCCTCTTGCATGCCCCCATCACTCAGCTACATCTTTAGTCCTGTTCAATATTATAAATAATTTTCCATGTGAAATAAAGTCTCATGGGGTGGAAGCTTCCACCTTTGCATTCATACATGTGGAATCATGCCTGCATTCAAAGAGTCTTGGATTTTTGGAGCATTTCAGGTTTTGGATTTTCAGATGAGGGAGGGATGCTCAGCCTCAGGGAGCGGAGGCCCTGTTGTGCTGGATGGCTTGTGGTCTGGGCAACAGCATCTCCCCTGAGAGGGATGCAGGATCTCAGCCTCCTCTGCAGGTCTTGGGAATCAGAGTGTGCACATAAACAAGGTGATGTGAATGCACATTAAAGTTTGAAAAGCAAGGACACCTTTGATAGAAGATGGTATCTAAGGTGAATAAATCAAGAACTCACTATCCAGGAAGAAAATTGTGATGTAGGTGACTCCCAGATGAACTAAAATTGTTAATAATAATATAAAAAATACTGTCTTATGGAAGTGAGTGGGGGTGGGCCAACAGCTTCTGCTTCCCTTCATTAATCTTTCTGACTCCCTTCTTCTTAGTTCCCCAAGTGCCTAATAGATAAGGAATATAGCATGGTGTAGGATTAATAGTTCAGGATCTAAGACCAGATGGTTGATTTTAAATCCCAAGAACGCTAGTATGAAGCTATTCCATCTTAGACAAGTTACTCCACTGCTCTGTGCCTCAGTTTACTTATTTGTAAAATAGAATAAAACCAGTCTCTATTGTACATAGGATTTTTGTAATTATTAACAAGTTAATTTATGTTAATGAGCTCAGAACAGAGCTTGGCACACAGTAAAATCTCATGTTACTTTAGCTATTATTGGCTATTGTCCATTCTTTGATATAGATTTTAATAAAGAAGAAAACCAGTATTGGAAATATCAGCACAAGACAGGCCTCTATAAACTGATCTAGTATTTTCTCCTCTAGAAGATAAAATATAGAGAGACAAGTCTTCTTTTGAAAAGGTCAGTTGAAACATTTAGGTTAAATGTCCATTGGGAAATATTCATTTGCAAATGCACAGTTTTTAAATGATTCAGAAGTACTGAAAAAGATAAATACACAATTGAAATTATTTTCAGGCAGGTATATTTTACTGGGCATTGTAACAGTTCCTCTCAGAAATTAAGTTGAAATTTTGTTGGGGAACATAACAAAGCAGATATTTAGACTAAGCTGAGGGTGGTGATGCATGGGATGAACATTAGAACCCACAAGTTTGGGAATAGCCTTGGCAACATAGTGAGATTTGGCTCCAAAAAATTAGATTTTATTAATGGAAATTATTATAAGAGAAAGAACACCAAGTAAGAATAATTACTTGTTATTTAATTTTAAGTAAACTCTAAAGATGCAAGGAGTAAGACAGTGACCCTCTAACACATCTGAAAGCATATTCACTGCAGACCTTTTGCCCAAAGTTCCTGTCGCAACAAAATTCTAACATTCTAATTGATCTGTCTCTGAATTGCCTCTAGGATCAATGTAATTAATATTTCTGAGCTGATGATGTTACTTGGGATGTTTAAGCTTATATCAACAGATTTCTCTAGTGGTTCCAAAATCACTACAATGAAATTAATGCTACATCTCTGAATATTCCTCCAAGCCCCATAACTTCCCTGGACTTGGAACAGTTTGACAACACATTTAGTAGCCTCAAAAATTTAAGCCGGCTGTTGGATGTCATGCATTAATTCTTTCTGCCACTAGATGGCAGAAGGTGACTATGAAATATATCCAGGAGCCTGCACCTGGCTTGGCAAGTGGGAGAACCCAGTCTTTACCCACCTCATCCATTGAAGATTTTTTACAGTCATCATCATCGTCATCATCATCACTTTCGGTATCAGCTTCCCCTGTCAAATTTTAATAACAGATCGTGACGTCAACATTCACAAGTTCAAAGCACTTGTCAACAAATGTACTAACAAAAATTGATTAGAGGGCTTCATTGGAAATTGGCTTCTTGGTTTCTTTTTATTTTTGCTGCTGTTGTTGTTATCATTATTATTTTATGAATTTAAATTTTATTAGTTACAAAGAATTTTCCTGACATTTTGAATATAGATTTTTTTTTCTAAATTTTATTTGGGAATAAAATACCCTTTAAATTTCCAAGTTCTACAAAAATTGAATCTCAACATTTTTTCTCTGTTTTTAAAGAAATATGGCATCATATACAGTTTTCCTTCTCAAACACCTGTATCCTATTTTGTTGTATACATTCTCTATCAGGGATGTTAGACTCTATGACCCTAATATAGATAAATTATCTCTTTTTATTTGTCTCTCTTTTTCTAAGCCTAGGCCCTTTGATGGAAGATTTGACCAGTACATGGTCAAACTTGTGTCAACCTTCTCCAAGGATGCAGGGGAACTCACAGATGGCAAAGAAGGATTTATGAGCCAGGGCAAGAACTGTGGGGGTGACGGTAGCACACATGAAACCCAAGAAATACCCACCACACTCTAGAATTTGTCTGCAAAGCTTCTCTAATAGCTGTATTTTCATAGAAACAACACATGTATCTTAGAAAATGGTGATGTTCTGTTTCAAAGGGCAGGATAAAATTGGTGAACACTACAATTGAAAGTCAAATCCAGACCTAATTCAATGTCATATTTAGCTAATATAAAAGGTCATGTCAGTGTATTTCCACCCTTGAAGAGTTAAAAGTCTTTTTCAAGGCAAAATATACATAATTGTTTGAAACATGACATTATTCTATACCTACTGGATTCAGTCATACTCAGTAATATCATTTGGGTAAAAGTATTTCTAAGTAAAAATTCAAGAAAGTATAGTTCTAAATCCAGTTGACTACTTCTTTTAGGGCTCACAGAATGCAATGGCAAAATTATGTCAGTAGATGGCAGTATGAGCTCAATAATGGGGTAATCTGCTTTGCCAAGTACCTGCCTTTTGAAAGTTATGGGCCCTACTCAATCTATGTAAATGCCACAATGCCCACAGTAGTGACCTCCAAAAAGCTCATCAATTTTTCCCTTAGTTGAGGAAGTTCAATCAATTACTGAAGATAGCAGTGAGGGAAGTATTCATTAAATATCTGTAAAAGGGAAAGACTTCTGGTACCAACAAGGGTTATTTATGGCTTATTTCTTAAAGCCTTATAAAACCACTTTATGACACCAATATTGTGTTAATAAGGTGAATTGATTACACTTTGCGAAGAAAATATATCCTTTTATATTAGAAGCAGGTTCTTTTAGGAGATTACCATTTAAATGTTTTTTTTTTTTTTATATTCAACTTTGGCCCCTAAATTGTTCTTATTATTACTTTTTTTTTTTAATTAGAGAGGGGATTCTTTTAATCAAGAAAACTGAAAAGATGTTTGGCAGAGTCTTTTACAGAATGTGTCATGGGACATAATAATACACCAGTCCCTGCAAATACCCAATCAGGTCATTCTTTTGTTTCTGTGGGAAATAATTTGTTTCTCTCTACTATAAGAGAAAGGACTTGGTTTTTCCTTTCACAAGTTATGTTTTTTAAACTTATTTACTTGCATTTATCTTTTGAACTGATACATAGCAATTGTACAGATTTATGGGGTTCCCTGATAAGTCTTTGGAGAGGCCTCAGAGGAATCTTATTAAACTATATTGATCTTAGTTCTCTAAGACAAGTTTCCTGGCAGAGGGCAGACTCCTGAAAGTCCTCTGGCCAACACAGGCTGTGATAAGTAAATTAGTCTTGAAATAAGATCTATTTCATGTTTTTCAAGTAACTTGAGTTCCCAATACTCTGAACATCTACAAACCAAATGGCAAATTAGCAGTAGTCTTTTATGCAGGGGCCTACCTACCTATTAACATGTCCAAAAATCTCTATTGAAATAAATAATGATTGCACAACAGACCAGGGACTAGCTTAGGAAATCTACCGAATTACCAACAGATTGCTGCTCTTACTCTGTATTAAGCAATAATGTTCACTGCCTGTAAAAATCGTTACTTGTGTAATGCATCTAGTTAATAAGAGGAGGAGAGAGAACTGGTAGTAGGAAATGCAGATGGTTAAAAAAAAAAACAAAACAACTAAGCACCCACATGCAGAGGAAGACACAGCCTGCTTGCTAGCATTCAAGGGACAAAGGTATTTTAGGAAATAGGCAGCCTCTAAAGACAATCATTTCAAAACTTCAAAAAGAACATTTTTATTGAGAATAGAGGTTATTTTTGTAAAACAAATCAGAATTGTGCAATAATGTTTGAAACACACATTCAAGAGCTCCAAAACAAAAACCCTTTCAAAGAATTATATCATGTCGGCTGATAAGGATATTCATCTAAACAATACAAGGCATTGGCAATTAAGACAGGAAAATATGAGAAAAGATAAGTCAGAGTCTTGACCAACCCTTTTTTTTTTCTCCCTGATTGCCCTGGAGTTGATATTTTAATGTCCACATTGTTTTCTAATCTCTTAATTAATGTGTGATAGGAACATAGAAACGTGCCCATACTGTATGTGTGCAGTGCAATGAATTTTCACCAAATAAAGATGTCTGAGTAACCAGCTTCCAGACCAAGAAAATACCACTGGGCTCACTTCCAGCAACTTTTTTTTCCAAGGGTTACCATTACCCTAGCTTCTAACAGCCCAGATAAGTTTTGCCTGTGTTTGTCCTTTGCATAGATGGAATCCTATAGTGAATACGTTCTTGTATTTGACTTTTTTTGCTCAACATATGTTTATAACATCATATTTTATATGTAGCCATAGATCATTCTCATGGCTGCATACAATTCTTTTGTGTGGACACAGTATGATTTATTAATTTGTTGATGGGCATTTGGTTGGTTTCCAGTGTTTTGCTATTTTTTATTTATTTACTTTTTATCATGCTACTGTAAGTAATTCTGGCACATGCCTCTTGGTAAACATAAATATGCATTTCTGTCAGGTGTTTACCTAGAAATCTTGGAGCCTGGGGTAAGTGGTAATGTGTATGTTCATCTTTTGCAGATACAATAAATAATTTTTTTCAGTGTAATGGTACCAATGTTAAACTTTTCTTTCTTTCTTTCTTTCTTTTTTTTTTTTTAAGGGGGTAGGGCCATTCTGGGGACAGAGCCCAGGATCTTCTGTACATGCTGAGCAAGGACTCGACTGCTGAGCTACACTCAGCATGTTAAACTTTTAGCTAAAGAACTTCCTAAAGCAAGTTTCAAGTTTTCCCCATTCATCACCCTCCAACCTGGAAGGTCTTTATAATGCACTGTAGGATGGTTGAGACTGATTGAACTTGGAAAATAAAGTAGACTAAATGACAAATAATCCCAAAGAAACAAGCAACCACTTCCAATTCTTTCCTCATCGACCACAAAAAAAAAAATTAATTTCAACCTAAATTTAAAAGGGAAAGGAACGATAATAGGCATGGCTTAGTAGCTTTGATAGGTAATGTAAGCAATTTTGCCATTTCGCATTTTCAGAAAGCCTCTGTAAGACATGGAAAATTGAGACATCAGGAGGCATCACTGGCTCATCAATGAGAATGTCTTTGCTCAGTATCTCCTCTACAGTCCTGTGTTAATGTGTCCCTTAAGAAGCTTATCATGTGGTCACAACAAAGATGAGCTGGCTAATGTGGAAGCTGGAATAATGTCCTCCCAAAGAATGCCTTATCCTGCCAATACACTAACCTGGCAGAAAAAAAGGGACTTTGCAGATGAGTTAAATGAAACCATGGGTGGGGGGGGGATTATCCTGGGATTTTCTGGGTGGGTCTGACATAATGGCATGACTCTTTAAAAGCAGAGGATACTTCCCAGCAGTAGCCTTAGGGACCGGTGACTACAGAGGAGATGAAACATTGCTCTCTTTGAGGCTAGGAGAGGGGGCTTTGAGTCAATAAATGTGGGAGGTCGCTAGGAGGTGGAAAAGCAAAGAAACAAATTCTTCCTTTGATACGAGTATCAGAAAATGTTATAGGATTATTGACTGTGGAGTATATTAATTAGTGTGTGTATTAGATAAAGACTATAAGCATCATGTCCATGATGTAATGTAAACTGCAAAACTTACATAAACTGCAGAACTTAGATAGACTTAAGATAGTGACGTAAGAGTCTAAGCCCGGGCGTAGACCCCAGAGCTCAACCAGTTATCAGCTGCAAGCACAACTGAACTAGGATTTAAAAGTAGTCTTTGAGGACACAGCAGGACTAACAGGACTCAGATAGACAGACTGAGACCTCTGTCACTGTTTTCCCCCCTGCACCAGACCCCTCCAGCCTGGATAGAGTTCTGAACTTAAGACACATCAGAGGTGAGCATCTGGAATCCTTAGGTGTAGACTCATTTAGGACTTAGAATTAGGATGTGTGTCTGAAGTGTGATGAGCATCAATAAAATAGATTTGGCTGAATCTAACTATGCCTCAGACTGAGTCTGTAGAGACTGCTCCTGACATTCTTAGACCTTCCAGAGAGGAGCACAGCCCTGTGGACCCCTTGATTTAAGCTCATGAGATCCTTGCAAGACTTTTGAATCTGGAGAACAGAGGATAAAATATTTGTGTGCATTTAAATCATCAGGTTTCTAAAGGCAACAGAAAACCAGTTCAGTTTAATACTGTGCCCAGAGCAATGCTGAACTTCCCTGTAAATGAATTTCAGAGTGGCAATTCTCAAACCATACACCATAGGAGCCCACGGCCGGCCGCTCACCTGCTCCGGGAGATGAGGGCTCGAACACGCTAGAGGAATCACTGTATGTGTTGGACACTTGTTCAGAGAGCTTCTTCTTGCCACTTCCTTCTGATGACTTGTGTGACTTCTTCTTGTTTTTCACCAAGATTTTATACATTAAATCCATAGGGCTGGGAAGAGGAACTCCAGATTCCAGCTAACAAAGGAAAAGCAAAATCTTTAAAAATACTGCCCCTCTCTTTCAAATGTCCTCTCCGAAATTCCAGCACAGTTCTGGATACCAAGAGTGTCTAGATTATTCTTTACTACCTTGGATGTGACTCATTAAACTGTATTGTGTGTCCTGTAGGGCGCTGGTTCATAGCTCTTTTTTATTTTTTTTACCCATTAAAGATATATTTTAATTGCTGTACTCTTCTTTTTCACACAACAAAATATACATAAATAAGGATCTCAGCCATGTACTGGTAGATTTAAGTCTTAAACCTGAACTTGCATGAGTATTCTGGTGAAGAAAATGAATCCAACCATCTTGATTTAGGACAGATAAGAAGGCAATGTTCTGAATTTTCAAAGGGAAGCCATACCTCTAGCAGGAAGATTTGGTAAAGTCAGACAAGAGCTTCCAAGCAAGAATGTGCAATCAATTTTTTAGATGCAGCTTTAAACAGCCAAATTCTCCTCCTGGAAATAGCTAGGGTAGCCACACATCTCCTCGGCATCAGTGGAGGCTGGCTATGTGGTTTCAGATTTCCTTCCAGCCATGAGATTCTAGCTATCATCCTTGCAAATCTTATTCTACAATTTCAAGTTTGCACATCTAATGGGAAAATCAATTTCCCATGAGAGGTTTATTAGATATTATATCAGAGAGCACGTGTGCAAGCCACAGGATGGGTTATTTTTAGAAAGTCTATTGAACTCCTCTAAGCTAGTCCTCTATTCTTTGTTTAGAATGAGTCTGGGGACTGAGATGAACTCACTTAAGGATATTTGGGGACTAGGTTCAAGGATCCAAAAGGGAAGAGGCTACTTTAGGCTATTTCTGCTGCTTTCTTTCCCCAAACAGGGGTAGGACCACAGCAACAGCAGACCTGAGTTCTGCCTCAAAGGTACATGGAAGGAGTGGGCAGCAGCTATGAGATAGGTCATCGTGCCATTCCCAATGTCCCATTTTGCTATCTCAAAGGGGTGTGAGAAGCCTCCCTGGGAGGTAAGCAGAGCCCCATCCTCTTGGACTTTCTCTGTGGGCTGATTGTAACTGCTGGGGGTTCTGCACTCCTAATTGAGTCACATCAGGCAGTGAGGGAAGGAAAGCACTGTGGAAAGAGGAGGAGACAGACACATTTCCATCTTCCCTGGGGCCCATCGCCAGCATCCTCCTGGTTAGAGAGTTCATTATCAATATGGAAGGGAAGTAAGTCTCCCTCCAATTCCCATGGTAGAACGCATGCCTTTCTTCAAGGGCAAACACCAAACCTGCTTACTGGGTATTTTTCCAGTGGCTCCATGAGAAGGGCATCACCAAAGATTAGTCGGCAGTACTCCGCCATCTTGGCTTGCTGCTTTGGGCTAAGGGAGAACAAGAAAGAAAAAAAAAAAGCAATCAGGGAAGCTTCTTACAGGAGCCTGAACAGGGCGGCTTTGTGTTATTAATTACAAAAAGTGGCAATTCCCTGAGCCCACCGTTCAGGATCAAGTTTTATCATTTTAAATCCCCATCCTCACTTAGGTGAATTTAAATACTGCATGCACACCCCACGGACGGTAAAGGTATGGGCCGGGTGAGCCTATTTTAAAGGCTGACCTGCATAGACAGGGACAGGGAGGACAGCAGGTCATTTGCCTGTCACAAGAGACTTAAAGGTTCCAGAGTTAGAGACTCCATCCCTCTTATTTCATTCCCCAGTTCTATGTTAATTCAAGGCACTTGGAGAGTGAACTTTTCCATAGCTCCATGTGAATTCCTGGGTGAAATTTATCAGACCTACAGAGAGTTTCAAAGAAGTGTTTACCAGGAGGCAGGGGAGGAAGAAAGGTAGGGGCACAGAGAGGCATCGAAGGAAAGTGAATCTCAAATGTATCAGAGAAAGCAGCCGACAGGAGACTTGTGGAGGGGGGTCCTAGAGGAAAGAGAAAAGCAGCAGGCATCTTGGGGACAGGTGCCTTCTCAGCATCTCTTATGTGCATAAGCGGGAAGCCAAGGAGGGTAAGCCTGAGAGTGTTGCCTGCACTGATGGCTTCTGATGGGAAAAGGCTGGGGCAGCTGTGGCTTCTTGGAGCTCCAGGCTCCTGAACCGCTTTGGATCTATAAAACGAGGAGGATCACCACTGCTCTCGGAAAGGGACAAAGGATGCTGAGAAGATGAAATGAAGTAATGGATGCAAATGCCTTTGAAATGCTACAAGAGCAGGGCACATGTAAGATGATCCCACTTCTGGAAGGCAGTGTCTGCCAGCTAGACTAGACACACTGTGCCTCCAGCCCTCGTAAACACATTGATAGCAGGGAACAGCCCTCCTCCTTCAGAGCTCCTGCTTTCCTTGACCTTTTTGAATCCAATAAAACAAATTTTTTTTTTCATTCTGTGGAATGTTAAATATCGTTATAAGGTATCCGATTCTGGCGGGTTTTATGGACTCTGATTTTGAGCTACAGCCGTAGAACTTGATTTCCCATAGTTATAGCTACTCCCTGCAATGATAATACATTGTAGAAGAACAGGGATCGTACTGAGAATAAGCATCAGTAATGAAAAGCCAGCTTTCCCACAGTTCAGATGAATTACAGAATGTGACTCTCATTTTCATTCCCTGTTTCCTGAATGTGAAGCCTGGATCATGGACTGTTGCCTCTGGGAAGGAGCGCTGAGGGGAGTAAAATAATACTGCAATAATGCACAGGAGAAAGCTCTCATTATATCCTTTTTTTTTTCTTTTTAAAAAAACAAAGCATGTGTTTTAGGGATCAGGTGAGTTATCTTGGGTTTAAATATGAACTTCCCAAGTTACTGCTTTCTTGGAACTGCAGGGGGAAGCAGAGGAGAGATTCAGAAAATGTACAAAGGCCTTCTTACTCCTCATCAGACTTTTGTTGGCCTCTGTGAGATTTTACTTTATGGCTGACGCAGTCCTCAGAGTAGAGGGCACTAGTCCTCAGTAGTGCCAGAGAGAAGAAATCACTGCTGATCAGAGAAGTGACCCTGACAAGCTCTGGAGGTGGTGGTTTAAGGACAACTTCTTAGAAACTGTGTCGATGAGACCGTTGGGAGCAGGTGCAGTAGCGGCTGATCTGGAAAGGGTAGGCTCAGGTGGATGTTCTTTGCCCCAGTGATAACTCACACAGGGCCTCCACCAAGTCAGCCAGCTCCCTGCTGCAGCTGAGAATAAGTCCATCTGTGCTGGGTCCATATAACCAGGTTGCACTTAAGGAAGCTGTCAAAGAATGATCCTATTATATACCATAGATCTTTTACTACACCAAATGTGTTCCATGGACAGCAGCATCAACATCACTTGTTAAAAATGCAGATACAGAATCAAAAGTCAAGATTCCACATTTTCATAAGTCCTCTTCATGCTTCTGATGCATGTTCAAGCTTTAAATTAATCTGATAGATTAATATTAATCACCAGGTGCTGCATTAGGTGACATTTCTTCTTAAGTGGTAGATGGTGGGAGTTCTGAGTTCTCTTTGATTAGTGACCAGGAACAAAAAGGAAGAGTTTTACCCTGATATCCTCCTGCTTTGGGGATTTCTGGGAAACCATATTCTTACCAGTAGAGGGATTTCAGGGAGGTGATTCAGGTGCCCCTAAACAGGTGTGCTCTGTTAGGTAGTCTCCAAGAAGGATGGTGCTGACGCCATGATTCTTATTCAACTAAAGAAACACCTGAGTCATTAACATGGCAGGTGATGGAGCCAAGTCCCAGTTTACTGATTCATGGAGTTGGGAGTGAAGTCCTGGAATCTGCCTTTGAAGCAAGCCTGCAGGTAATTCTGATGCAGGTGGTTATGGACATACAACATTTAGAGCCTCCCTCTAGCACTTTATCCAAATCACTTGGGGTCCAGTTGAAGTGAAATTCTGAAATAGAACCCAGGATGGGGCCAGAATTGCTGCATTTCTAAGAAGTTCCCCTTGGATGCAGTTACTTTGAAAAACAAAGATCTGTGTCTAAGATGGAGAAAGTAAAATGTAGCTATCCAAGAAAAAAAAAAATGAATTGTGTTACTTAGTAATCAGGCTATTCATGTTCTCAATAAATACACATGCCCACCTGACTCAATCAGAACACAGGGAAAACCGAATACAAAAAGTGAGAGGAAAACAAACCTACTTTAATTACAGGAGGAACTGCAGAAATAAAAGGCATTAAAATTGCAATTAGCAAAAAAAAAAAAAAAAAAAAAAGTCCTGAAATTTTTAAAGCATCAATATCATCTACTGTAGAAATAAAGTGAGAGAGAAAAATTCATAAATACATTTTGAGCTTCAGGCTGAAACAGATATTTCTAAAGATATTAAAATACCCAGTCAGGTGCACTGGTGCACACCTATGATCCCAGCTACTCAGGAGGTTGATACAAGAAGATTACAAGTTTGAGGCCACTGCCGGCAATTTAGTGAGACTCTGTCTCAAAAGCACTGGGATATAGCTCCGTGTTAGAGTCCCTGAGTTCAATCCCCAGCACTGTGAACATAGAGAGAGAGATAGATAAATTTTAAGTCTGGCAAAAGAGTCAGTTTCTGATAAGAATGCATACCAACTCATGGGGTTAAATCCCCCAAATTGAACTATACTGACCTCCTTCTCTATAGATAAGGAATCTGTAGTCCACGGAAATAAAGAACCTTGTCCAAAATCTCATAGTTGTCTATAGCTGAACCAGGGCTAGAGATTGCTTCATTTGAATTCGATACAGGATTCATTTTGTAAAAGTGCTCGTTCACAAATGAAGTGGGCCATCAGGGTCAACTAGGGCTTTTTGTTGTTATTGTTGTTTATATTTTTATAAAGATTTTCAAGTCTTCTCTACAAATTCTAATTTGGGAGTAGGAGAGCCCCTTAGGAACCTGCATTTGAGAAAGTTCTCTATGGAAGCCTGAGGTAGCAGGTGACTAAGTGGACAGCAGTTAGTGGCAGAGTCTCTTTTGTTGTCTATGGATAGAGGATTTCAGATACTTAGAGAGAAACCATGAAATGCCGTGGATTTGTTCCATTTCCCCCCCCCCCCAGTATGAGTTTGTTTTGGGCTGTGGGCCAAATCAGTGGCACCAGAGGATAAAATGGTTCACCAGAAATGGCAAATAGGTTTCAAAGGTTTTGAGGGTGTGCTCCTGGGTCACTGGGTTGAGAAGGATTCTGAGGTAACATTTAGGCCCAGTGAGAAGGAAACAGTGCTGGGACTTAAGGAATGAGACCTGCCACAGGTCCAGAACCAAGTGAGTTGACCCACAAGTCAAGGATAGGGCTCTACCCAGGGAGGGGATGTCCATCAGCCTTCTTTGGCCATGTGATACCTCTCCCAGGAAAGATTTATGGCTAAAGGATTTTCATGTGAAGCTGAAGGACAGCGGAAATGTGTAGCAAACATCTTCCCACAATGGGAGTCAGTCTCTCTGTATTTCACTGCCATTAGATTTTTCTAATGGCTTGGGAAGCACTCTTGGCACCCTGGGAAGGCTGTCTTCCTGTTTTCTTTTGTCACATTTGAATTATTAATGACACTTTTAATAGCTAAACTCATTTGCCCAGAAAGGACAGTATTATGCAGCCACCCACTTTGCTTTTGTTCACAAGGTAGGGAGTTTCCACAGTTTTGGATCTCTGTATGATCAGTGCATAAGATTGCAAAAACAGCAACAACAACAACAACAACAAACAAACAAACAAACACCCTGTGGCCCAGACATGGTGATGCACAGTTAGAATCCCAGCAATGTGAGGGAGGGTGCTGAGGCAGGAGGATCCCAAGTTCAAGGCCAGCCTCCAGAACTTAGCAAGGCCCTATGCAACTTAGTGAGAACTTGTCTCAAAACAAAAAGAAAAAAAGCAGGCTGGGGCTGGAGTTTACTAGTAAAGAACCTCTGGGTTTAATCCCCAGTACCAAAAAGAAAAAAAAATTCTGTGGTTGGAGTTCATAAGCCACAAAAGCATGAACATTTATAGACAGTTGCCTTGCAGATGCTCTGGTTGTTTTAATTCCACATTTTGGAAACTCATGATGCTTCTGTGCAGGTGCAGGAAATGCTGTAGTTCTCTAGCCCAGGCCAACTAAATTTGAATTCCACCTCTGTCATATTTGAGCTGCATAATCTTGAACAGCTTTGGGATTTAGTTTCTTCATCCATATACTAAGAATAATCATCAGATTTACTGTGAAGAGCACCTGGGTTCATGTTGAGGGTTCCATGAGCTCAGGCACATAAAAGAATTGCAAGGTTCTTGGGCACAAAATACCCATTCAATAAATGCTACCTGTTGTTATATTTATGGTCATGGTAGTTGCTGGTACTTCTTTGGCTAATTAAGGGAGAGTGCAGTGTAGCAGGTATGATAATCCAGAATAGAACCGTAGACTTTCATTTTGTCTAGTTCAAATAGAAATATTTAAGAAAATAAGCACACTGAGTGCTTTTTCTCATAAGTAGACAAAACAAAGCACACACACACAAATCCCACACATCAACCAGTCTGGTGACTACTGTGCCTGAAAGAAAAGTGGCAAAGCATTGTGGGAACCAAAAATCAAATGGATGGGCAGAGACAAGGAAGAGCTCCAGCAAAGTCACAGGCAAGTCAGAGCTGTCACCAACAAGCAGCTATTAGACACAGCCACCAAAGAGGTGCCCCTGAGAAACAGCAATGGGACAGAATAAATTCCATTCTCTTCAACTGACCGTCAGGAGTATTAGAAGAACTATGTGCCCAATGATTACAGCATTCATTGGACAATGTATGATAATGAAACAGAATCAAGGACCAATGGATGTAACGTGGATTTACTGAGGGCAATAGAAGAACAGACCCTTATAAGATTGGTTATGTCAGAATAAGGCTTCTCTATATGTATATGTTAATGAATGTCCACATTTAATTATTTAGAAATCTGATGATGACCAAATTGCTTCTTTAAGGTTCAGTGAATTGTTGCAGAATTAGCAAATGCAAGCCCATGTTGCAAATAAGTTGGACAAAGAAAATGAGTGTCCTGGGAAATACTCTTCATTGAAAGGAGGAGAAAAAGAATCAGTTAGCACAATTAGATAGGTCCTGTTGGCTTTGGATCGAGAAATCTGGCATGAGTCCTTGAGATGAACAGAGGGCTTCACAAATGGTCTTTTGAGCAATGGTGGCTCCACTATATGTTCTTCAGACATTAAATTGGTTCTATTCATGGTAATTTAAGTTCCAAAATTTCAAGACAGAAAATAACCTCTTTTTATTTATTTATTTTGTTTTTGCTGCTGGGGATCAATCCTAAGGCCTTGTGCATGCGAGGTAAATTCTCTCCCACTGAGCTAAAACCCCAATCCTAGAGAACAGTGTTTTCTTGTAAGGCCATTTAAAGTGAATAATTGTATGATAAATTAATATGCACATCTTACATATAAATATCTCTTACTCTGGTATTTTGTGATAAATGAATATAAAATAGGCCAGATATGGTGGTGTACACTTAAAAAACCACATAAACCCACCTACTCAGGAGGCTGAGGAAGGAAGATTGTCACGTTCAAGGCCAGCCTGGGCAAATTAGCAAGAGTCCATCTCAAGATAAAATTAAAAAAAAAAATTAAAAAACTAGGTGTATATCCCAGTAGCAGAACACTTGCCTAGCATTCATGAAACCCTGAGTGGAATTCCCAGCATCATGAGAGACAGAGAGAGAGACAGAGAGAGAGACAGAGAGAGAGAGAGA